GAATGTTACGGGAACAGGGGCTTACACTGACCTGCTCAGGGATATAAGAAATAGAAATGTCTCTGTTTTCCTTTCTCTAGGGATACATCGACCAAGAGCCAGCCAGCCCCAGCTGAGAGCATGTCCCTTCCCCGTCGCGGAGACCAGCCCCTGACACACCAGGCACCCCCAGATGTCCCTCTGCAGCACAGCTACAGGTTTCCCTAGAAAGGACAGAGCTATGATTGCATGCACACAATTAGGAATTCAAGAAGATATATATACAGCAAATGTATACTATCAACCAGGTAAAATTACACATAGATTTCAGCATCTTTGCTGACTGGTTTCTTACTTTAAAAGTAGCAAACCTTTCTAATGGGCAAGTGCCCACCTAGCAAACCACAGGGCTACCTCTCTGGGAAGCCAAGCAATTTAGAAAGCAAAGTCGTAACAAGCAAACGATACCATGAGTGGCAACAGGAACGGGCAGAGCAGGGTGGGGAAACGGCCGGATGCTTCATCACGCGGCAGAGAAACCTGCGCAGATGACGGTGGTGGCAGCGGCTGTCCCTGCTCTGCCCCGGCACAACCACCCGCCCCCTCCTGTGACTCATCTGGGGCTCAATCTGCAAGGAAATTTGGACAAAGTGAACCTACGTCTTCCACCACTCACCACCATGTAACTCAATTGACTTCAGCAGAATTACTCTTGGTTTAAACAGAATCAATATTTCCATAGAGAAACAGAAGGCAGCATTCAATTTTTGGTGGTGATTAGGATAAATCCATGGAGGCACTGAAGTCAACCGAGCCATTACAAGTGGCTAAAGAAATGACCTTCCTTTATCAAGGAAACACAGCCATTTCTGTCTGGAGTATTTTTCTTTTCAGCTGTCATATATGAAACTACTGTATTCAGGGCCACTCAGAGTACAATGAGGCAGTCAGCACAAAACCATATTCACCCACTCACGGGGACACCATCAGCCGGATTAAAGAACCGAGCGCGACGAGTCTGCTCCGCTTTCTCATCAGCTTCAAGTACACTTACGAGCATCTTCAAATCAGCACCCACAAAGCAGCCTGCACGACTCAAGCCTTAAAGGACCCTCAGCGACTTCAAAAGCTTCAAAATCCGGAGCGAGATGACAGGCAAGCACAGTCCCCTGCAACACCGTGAGCGCGCCCACCCCTCCTGCAATCTGCCACCTTCACACGGCCCAGACGGATCAAATAATCACTTCTGCTTACAAAGAGAGCAATTTCTTTTTGTATTCAAGCTGCCGATCCGTGTTACACTCTACAAAGGGCTTTAAACCTTTTGAAAAACCAAGATCTTTCTCACATCCAGCCAACTACAAACAACTCCAAGCTCTCATTTTTAGTTGCAGTTACCTACATTGCACAAAATTAAGCAGAGAGGTAGCGGATGTTTCAATCTACTGACTCGTTCAAATCTCCCCTTTCATACACTGCTGCATCCCAGCACTGATGGACTGCAGCAGAGAGGACAAATGGGTATCCACAAGCATTAACTTGTTTGCACACCGCTATTTCTGTTGTTCAGGCAATCACTTCCAAGGGCACGTAGATGCTCCTGCTCGTTTGCCTTCGCACACTGAGGTTAACCGTTTGCGACTCTCCTGCACATCTCACTGCAATCCCTGGGTTTTATTGAGAGATGATAAAAACACACTTCCTTCCAGAAAAAAAGCAAGCTTTGCAGTCATGTATTTTGTAGTCCCTGGTTGTGAAAGACGCTTATTTTGTTCAGAATTAGGAATTTCTGCAGTAACTGTATACAAATGCATACCCAAGGTGGTCTACTAGGAGATAAAACCAGATATGCAAATATTTACTGAAGATTTATTAACAAAAATGTACATAGAAACTCCAGCATACAAGAAGTCTGAAAATCTGCTTCCATTCAGCACAAAAATTCAGTTTGCTGCAGTTTGCCAGCTGCAAGGGAAATCTGTCTTCTTATGAGGCTTTCTCATCCTCCCCTTTCAACAGCTTCCCATCAAAATATGCAAAAGAACCAGTGAACTGAAAATTTCATTGGCAAAATCTCCAAGCCCAACTTTTGCAGAAGAAAGTATCTTGCTTGGTTAAAAAAGCAAAGACTAACCGATAAGGTTGACAGCATTCACTAGCTCCACCCTCGGCACAATCATGCTGTGTCCCACTGAAAAAGCCTGGAAGAAGTCTTCCAGCTCCGGTCCCTGCTTCTTCTGCTGCAGTCTTCTGTCCCATGGAGGCCAGCCCAGAAGGGAAATCGCTGGCTTCAAGAAAGCTTACCAGCCGGCCCTTCATCCACAGAAAGGTGGCTCAAAGAAGGATGCCAACCCCAAACAGGGTGAGAGGAGAAGCAAAGCCTCCAAAATATTGTCAGGCCATGCCCTGCTCAATCTGGGAGCTGGTAAGATTGATCAAACTGCGGCATCACATCCTGACCATTTGGCACGTTAAAAAAGACGACAGGTAGTGTTTTTTAAACCTCCCAGCATCACCCAAGTAGACTCGTCCCTGGCGAAGGAGGAGCTGTACTGTACTCGTGTGCTGAATCTCTTTTTGTCTTGTGGGGGAGCAGATAGGATGGCCCCGAGCCAGCGAGCGGCAGAAAGAGGGAGAGGAAAGCCTGCACCGACACAGCACGGCTCCCGGCTTCCTGCAGATACGGGCGAGAGATTTTTAAGAAGAGGGAAGATAAGTATGAAAGGGAGAACAAAAAAACCCAAGTAAAAGCTCTGCACGTCTTCAAAAGCTGCAGAAACTGTGCTCGGTGACAAGGGTTTGAAATTCAGCGGTGCCGACGTTCCCGGCAGGCGTGTTTTCTGGTACAGAGATAACAGGTTTTAAACAGAGGGGAGAGGAAGAGGAGGGGAAGAGATCAGAAGACGAACAAAAAAGCCTCAGTGGGTTAAGCAGAACCTCGTGTTAGGAAGAGTTATCCTGCAGTTTTACAAACGGGCAAGGAAGGTGGTGTGGGAACTCAAGGTGTTATTTCCTGGGGATATCCCCTCCAGATTTCTGAGCCGGACTTTGGCTGAAACAAAACAAACTCAGTAGCGTTGCCAGCTCTTATGATCTTACTGCAAGCCTGACAACAGCTGCGGGTTTATTCCGAAGGCATCAGCCCCTAGATTCATGTGATAAAGAAAAAACAACAACAACAAAACAAACCCCACTTTTTTTCTTTCTTCTTAAATTAAACAAAGCCCCTAGTATTATGGTTGCAATGAAAAGCTAGGAAACGGTAGAATTTGTATGCTTTTATCTGTAAGGCAAATAAAAACTAAACTAAACTGCATTTTAATCTTACATCCTTATTCAAATTTGGAATTATTACTGTTGTTATAATATTACACTGAAAATACTAGATCGGACAGACTGTGATCTGGGATAAACAAGAAAAGGTGCCTACTGGGACAGGATGCTGGACTGGGTGGCGATTGCACAACCCATCTGTAGCACAGGCCATTTAAATCAAGCCAACAACCCCTCCTGTAAAAACCCAGCACCCAGACTTAATGCAGTCACCAGCATCTAAAACCAAGACATCTTAGAAATTTGACAAAATAGAACTTCAATGCTATTTTCAGAAGTTTTGGGGTAATAGAGGCTTCATATACGTATGATCAACTTTGCACCCACAATCTTTAGTGACGTACAAAACGCTAGTGCACCTGAACGCTTTCTTGCTCCTCTTTGTTTTTGTAACCATCAATACACATTGTATATGAGACTCAGAAACACGTGCAACTACTATGTGCTAGAATGGAATAAAACAAATCAACCATTTGTAAATGTGAAACATATTTAACAAACACAGCATTCATACTTCAGGTGTTTCCTAGTGTTCCAAAAGCCCCAGGAAAGTAGGAAAAAAAAGTTTCTTATATAAGAAAATTTTACAGAAACTCGCTAATTTGAATACTTTTGATATTGAAGAGTCAAATTTCACCCAATGTAGAAATGATGACCGATCCCTTACAGTGCTTTGCACAAATATGAACTGCAGTGGGTTCGGACACTGAACTGAATTCAGAATTGCATAATCCACCCTTCAATTTCAAATTAAATATTTAACAACTGGATTCAAAATATTTAATGCTAACTTCTCAGTCCATTGATCAACACACTATACAGTAGGAAATCACACAAGAGAGAAAAGGTGGCTTGCTCCTTCAACAGCTGTTTGCAGACGCACGTATCCTAAGAGAGCACATCCAGTATTTCCTACCACAAAGGATCTCCACTCCTAAACCCAAGCATTTCTCAGGCCCCGAAGTTAATTATACATTAAAAAAAAAAAAAAATACGGCTACGAACTGTGGTAAATATACTTGCCAAATAGCACGATGTGCATTTCGTAAGAATAACTGTTTGTTATTAAATGCACTTTTCCATTTGCTTTATTTTCATAGTCTTATCTAAAAGAAAGATGTCCTGCTCAGGATGTGGAGCCATAGGTCCAACGCAGAACTCAATGCCAACGTGAAGTCTCATCAATAAACAAAAGAAATTTAAGGTGAATCTATGAAATGCACTCAAGAGAGAAAACAGATGCCATCTGTTTCATTTTAAATACAAAAGCACACTCATGGAGACTACTTTATCAAGCAATGTTTTCTTTACAGCTAAAAACAGCATCTCAGATCAGGACAAGCGATATGGAAGGAAGGCTTGTCTCTGCAGAACATCTCCGTGTGCTGCAAGCGAGCGTGACCACAGACTCTGTAACACAACACGAAGATGAAGCCATCGCTTTGGCTGCCTCTGACACAGCAGTTTACAAAGTCTTCTTCATCTGTTCAAACTTCAGTCCCCACCATGAATGTCACTACTTCTAGCAGATCGGCTCCAGAGACTAAATACGAGTATCCTAACTGGGTATCCAGCTAACCCATTCTAGGAAATTACTTATCCACATTTTCTAAATTTATCCTGAAATGGAGCTGGTCTATCACAATCACTTACCAACCACACAAGGCTGTTCAGGGTTTATGGCCCCTATGATTTTTGGGATCACCTCTGGATCAGGATTGCTATGGGGGTGAATAATTTTCTTCTTGCATCTTACCAAATCTTCTCAAATGTCTTTGTTCGCCTCCTCACAGGCCTGTTTACATGAACATCATCTCCCAGGACCTGCAATTTTCGAGTGGGATATCAGAGAGTAAAAAGCTGTTTCTACCATACGGACAAAGCCACTTCTCTCTCTTCTGTATTCAGAGGCGGATACATACAAAACAAAGGAGAGGAGGGAGCCAATGCATGAAAATACAAGTCCTCACAGGGACGTGGGAACACACTAGGAAACCAGTAGAAGCTCGAGCACGCAGTGGTGAGTAGGTGGAAAGAGAGAAACACAAACTCTTCCTGCTCCATCATGTTCACACCTGGTTCCCCTGTCCCCCCCCCCCCCCCCCCCAGTCTGCTTCTCTGCTGTGGCCAGAAGAAACCCACAGCACCTCGGCATCTTTCTAATCAGGACGATCAATTGATTAAACAACGGTGTTTCAAACGATAATCTTACAGTTCAGCAATACACTGCCGCAAAACCAGACCCTGTTGGATCACTGTTCCTCCCACGCTTTGGTAGCTAAACAGCATCCTCTTACCACATGCACATCTCCTCAGGTCCTCTCTCACTGCCCTTCTAACCCTCCTTTAAATGTTAATCTTGTGCCAGCGCTTATAGAGACAAAGTCAACTGTTCTCCTCTCCAAGCCATACCCTAAACCTACTGCCTGGCACTCCAAATAACAATCAGAAGGATTTGTTGCTTGTTTTGGGGTGGAAAAACAGAGAGAAAAACATCAGCATTACTTCAATAGACTCTTCAGCCTTTGATTCTGCTTAGCCAGAAATAAAACTGTGTGTAGCATCACCTGCCCAGTGTGGTGGCAACCTTCGGGCCACCAGCATGTCCCCAGCTGAGTCCCACTCGTGCTCCCCATATAACAAATACTAGGAGAACTGCTGTAACCAAGGGGAGACTCAGAGCCTGGCACAGTTAGTTCCCAGATCGTAAGAAAGGAAAGGGTGCACACAGGAAAGGGGGGGTCAGCCTATATGTTCTCGGGGGTATAAGCACCCTGTTTACATACAGCTGCCACGATCTGGCACTGAAGTCGTAGCGGTCGGCAATGTTTCCAGCCCCAAGAAACCAGTGATTTTGGAAAGCATCTGCACCACAGACGGCTCTTCACCTACACAAAGACTGAATTTAATGGAACAACGTAACACCAAAACTCAGTGAAATATGTCCATCTTTAACTATCGTCCCAATTTGGCAGGGCACTGTAAGAAATGCTTAATTTTAAGACCACGCTTAAACACACTGCTGAACATGAACTGGACATTTCTGAAATTAAACACATGCTTAAAGGACTTGCTAAAACGGAGTGCAAAGAAATAAGGTACCAGGGAAATCATCTTGCAGCTCTGGCTCAGAAAAGCGTATTCAATTATAAAAGTAAAGTTACTGAAAAAGCTTCCTCATTTGAGAGGCACCACAGAGATTACGGCACAGACTTATGTAAAATCAGAACAATAGCAAGTGATAATCATAGAATACAAAACATTCATAAAACCCTCCTGCTACCAGTGTGTTAATTACATCAGTTTAATTTTGGAAATACAGACTTGTACTGACGTACAGCTTCGCATACTGAGCCACCTGGCTGTTACCAGGAGATTTTAAGGCAGAGAAATCCCAGAGCTCTGCAGAAGCACTTTACAGCAATAAGCAAGCAGAGAAACAAGCAAAAGCAAAACTAATATTAGAGTAAAAAACTCAAGAGACTGTTACAACTCTGAAACTTCTCCTTTGCAGGGATTAGGAGAATGCAAGAGTTTTTTTATGGGCTTTACTTTTCTATTACTCCCCTTTTTCAGGGGGCATAAATCGCTCTCAGCTGTGAAGAAATTACAAGCATTTGACTTTATGGAAAAAACCTGATACTTTTGGGTTACTAGACAGAACTCTGTTCTGCACAAATGAAATCAGAAATAAAATCAGTGTTTGTATGTTTTACAAAACAGCACTTCCGACTTCTCTGAAATTCTGCACGCTGGCTGTTTCTTGGAGCCATTTTCCTTGCCTGACTTACAGAGGACTGAAGAACATGGAGCTGGCAGGCAGATTATATTACTACGCCGAACTACGTTTGAAAACATCGACTACTGCAAACTGCAGCTGTCCTATTGCACAGGCCAAGTTACTCACACGGAGCAGAGCGAACTACCCCCCTGTTTAATAAACTCTGCTGGCTCTTCAGAGCCAGCCCTTCTCTAACGAGCAGAGCAGCCGCGCTCTGCCAGCGCCCCGCAGCCAGCGTTGCCCAATTTAAACACAGGGAAGTAACTGGCTTCAAGGAAGGACCCTTCGCTTTGGAATTTGCTCCTGCCAGACGCAGAAATTGTTGAAACTCAGAGAGGGCTATGCAGCCTGCCTGTGTCCGAAGCTTTTTCATGCAAGTAAAGATAATTTATTTAATTTATATTTAAATTTGTATTAAAAAAAACCCAACCAACAAACAAAAAAAACCCCACAAACCTATTAACCAAGCTGCTAGCAAGCAAACAAGACTGTTCCTAGAGAAAACCCCTTTTTTTCCCTAAAAAACTCCTGCCCTTTTGCACTCTCCTATTCCATTTGCACTGCAGGACAACATTTGCTGTGCAGTTTTAATCTCAAAGATAAAACAAGCACCCTCAGGAATGATACACAACCAATGAATAAACACTGCTATCGGCATCCTGCATCTTCAGCGACCTACGTGTGCTCTATCGCAGCTCCTCAGTTCAGCCTTGAAAGAAGCAGTGCACGCACCTTTCCTGCCAGAGGATGCAAGAGCCAGCGCACAAGCTCGAGCCTACAGACAGGACTACTTCAAGGGTTGCAAAATTTCGATTGGAAGCATCTTTCATTTTTTTACATGAAAAACTGCAATAGCTGAAAAGGGAAAGCTCATCTGATCAACAGAAATTCAAAATGTCCCCAGTGTAATTAGTTTTTGAGAAAAATATTTACACTGCAGCTGAATCAAGCTGCTTTGCAGCCGAACCCCAACAAAACTGCAACAACGAAGAAGGTTTTGTGTCTGCTTTTTAATGATTGTATCCTAATTACAGGAAAATTTCACCCCTTCCCAATGCTGGCTGGGAGAATCATTGTAAAATGCAGGGTCCTGCAAATTAGCAAGCAAGTGAACAATAAAATCCCCCCAAGGATAATGCATTACAAAACACACTGCATTCATTTATTTGGCGAAGTGCAGTTTAATTACTTGTAAAAATAATGACTCCTTTGTATGGGTTCTCGCTAACATGCGTTGCTGCTCTGTATTTGCTGAGTGGTACGAGTTGCGTGCCAAATTTGCGTGCACGGATTATACAGCGTGCACATAAGCACAGCGCAGAAAAGAGGTTGTACAGTATCCATTGTGTTTTGACAGCACATAAATGATATGTACTCTCTTCATGGAATTTGGCTGCTTTTCTATATTTTGAAACTCAATATTTCTCATCTCAATAGGGATTTTCAAGCCTCAGTCCCATCTCATTGCCGAACGTGCTAAGCAAAACAAAAATCTCTGCTGGGAAATCAGGAGGTGTCCGTTTTGCAGCCGCCGCCCTCACGTGGGCAAGGGCCGTGGCGGCCCCCGTGTCACACGCTGCTCCCACCGCTCCGGCCAGCCCCGAGCTCGTCACACGGTGCTTTGCCACCATCCCACCCATTGAAACAGGGGTCCACGATTTCCAGCATCCACAGATTTCTGTTTGCAGGGCTTCATGGAGACAGCAGGGTTTTCAGAGTCATGGGATATGTGGCATGGCTGTCAGCTGTTCATACATTCTATTTCCGCCCAGCAGTTCAAGCGGAAAGCTAATCATAATGAACAGTTTAAGGCTATACTAAGAAGAACAGGATTGGGGATCTTGATGGTAACGTCACTGAAGCTGCTAGTGTCTTATTTTCAAGGATGAACTGTAAAGGTCATCAGAAAAATCCCTTGGATGACACCAGCAGTATCCATTAAAGGGAGTGTCACAGAGTGTCACCATGTAATCCAAGTACTCTTTTTTTCTTTCCACTGAGTGAGAACTGCCATTCCACTATTGGAACCAGTTGTGAAATACTCACTCCACCAAATACATGAATAGCTGTTGTAATAGTTTTGTTTACTTCCCATTTCTTTTTAAATTACCAGCTCTACTCATACTCAGATTGCAGTATTTGCTGTGAGCTCTATATTCAAGTTTTCGCCAACTTAAGCTTTTTATAATAAAGTTTTGGCCAACTTAAGCTTCTTGACAGTACGTAAAGTCTGTTAACATGGTTAGTCTCACCTTGGAGAACTTTGATGCAGTTATGGGATGAATTTGCACATTCCGATTTTACAAGATAGTCTGCAAGAGAGCTGGCTGTTTTCACAGTGTGACTGTTGAACCCGATGGAGAAAAACATATCATTGTCATCATCTCTGTATTAATCCCAGCCAAGGGTGGCAGAAGAGGAGGTTAGGGTATAGCTCCTGGCCCACCCTGCACCTTCTCCTTCACCCTCACTTTGCATGTGGTTGGCTGAATTGTTAAAGATGAAACTTAAATGCAATCACTCCAGCAACACAGATCGCAATTTTTGCCCTCTAACACCCCACTCAACAACTACAGAAAGCAGAATAATTTATAATTCATAACAGAGAAATGTTGCGTGATAATGTGGACGACACAGCAGACTCCTAAACACGACACTGCGTCACTCAACATAAACCCCAAGTATCTGAAAATTCAATTCAGAAAACAAAGTTAATAACAAAGCTTAAGAGAACCAGGCATCAGAATAACACACATGCAGACCAAATCTTTTCTCTTTTACAAATAGCCCCCTCAGGACTTATTTAAGCTCTTTGCCTTTATTAGCCTCAGCTTTTAAAGCTCCATCTCCAAACATTTGCTATTCAAAAATAACTTGTCATTTTCTGAAGGATTCCTTGTAAAACACTGCAGTAAATGCTCATGCGACTAGTTACTTGCTAGGAGTGAGTAAGATCTGGCTGTTTCTCGCGACCGCTCAAAAGAGAACAGTTTCTGCTGTTAAATACTTGCATTAATTCTTACCTAAATATTTTACCTATACTGGTAAGATACCTGTTCTCTACAAGATGCTGCCTTATTTCAATACAATTATCATTATTTCCTTTAACCAAAAAACTCCAAATCTACAAAGTAAGAACATAACAGTCAGCCACCACCATGAAGGCCGCTAGCTCCCCTCTTTTGGGCAGCTGTGCTTGTTTGAAGAAAAGCTTTTTCACTTGTGTTTGCATAAGGTTTGTCTTAATTAGTCGATATTACAGTGACTTAGTTTGGGCTTTAAGAGACAGCTGGAAGCAGAACACTGTGCAACAGAAAAGAAGAACATAACAATATTATTGCATTTCCCCTAAACCCTAAGGACCTGCCCTCATTGTTGCTAGCAAGAAAGGTAAGAGCAAAATCATACAAAAATTGCCTTTTAGGGTAGAGTATGGCTCTTAGACACTATTCAGTGATAATGCACAGCAAAGGCAAGCATGATACAGAATGAAAAACTAGCAGAGGAACCATCAAATCATCCTTACTCGGTTAAAAGCTGGTGCAGCTTCTGGTAGCCCCTCTCCAAGGCCAAGCTCACAGGCGTTGCCCCTTCGTTGTTGTGGATGCTGAGAGCTCCTCTTCCACCAGGCTGCTGGAGCAGAAACCACGTTAGCCGCAGCAGACCCAGCCTCACCGCAAAATGCATCAGTGTTTCCCGAGGGATGTTCTCTGGGAAGAAA